TGAGCTTTTGACTCACTTAACTGAAGACTTCGTCACTGGAAGTTTTCTTGGTTAAGTAGTAGAGCAATAATGAGGGGCCCCGAGAAATATTTCATTGAGCTGATGGGTGTGGAAGGAATTCAGCCATATGCACTGTTGAGAGTCCTGAGATAGTTCAGTCTAGTCCAAGACGTACCCCTATGGTCCCGAATGGCTTTGTGTAAGGACGGCTACAATGGACAAATTCTAATTCCAAGAGTAAGACAACTTCAACATGAATGGAGTGATTTCATCACGATGGGTATGAGACAAAATTCATGGTGTACCCGGAGTACTTTGTGTGGATTTTTGAAGAAGATCAACTTGCTAGCACTAGTCGAGAAGGGTTAGTCGGGTTAGAATATTCGAGAGCAGCTTTGCAAGTATACCACGAGATTCGACCTCACTACCTTGTCACCTCTACCATGCACCAACATATAGTCCCAAGATCAGTTGATCATATGCTTCCACCGCCTGATGATGACAATCAGATAGTGAGTACATACAGATTGAATCCGAAGAAGAACGGGAGGAAGATCCAGAAGAGGAGCTGGAGCATCATTATGAGTTTCGCACCTCGTTTTCTCGCGAAAGCGAGTTTCAACATGTGACAACTCTTTTAGATGGGTATTAAAAGAGAAGAGTCACCACCTAATAATTTTGAGGTGCGTTAGGACACCTATTTGCGAATAACTTTGTTTTAACTAGTCTGTGTTACCAAAGATCGGATAAGAGCTCAAATTACCTCGAATAGAAGGGGTTAGGCACTATTCGAGGTCCACAACTGTGGTTCCCGACTAAATTCTACACTATGTGAATTATCGAATTATAATTATCTTATGTGATCATGTCAATTAAAGGAAAGCAAAGAGTCCAAAATAACTAATTAAATTATTCAAAGTAAAGACTAGGATGAAACTAGTGATGGAAGAAATTACACACATGAAAGACATAGCTTGTCCACTAATAAGTGATTGATACAACTCTTTGAGAATTACAATATACATTCTAGTTCAATAAATAAGTGTACACGTAGTGACCATGTATGGGGGGTCCTAAGTATTTTAGCCTAAAGGATCACCGCGTGCAACATAAATAATACTTTGCAACTCTCTTAAGTATAGGAGTTGTTCATATTATTCAGCAGGCACAGATTATCATCTCCTGCTACCCGATTACTATCTTGAAGTTGTTTACCTAAACGCGTTCTAGTTCAATTCTAAGTTGCGCCCTATACGTGCTTAGCCGCCCCATGCCTATAATCCAGGAGGCTTTGGACCTACTATACATGTGGTTCTAAACTCCCTTATGCTGCTCAAAATGATAAAACTAAGCACACATAATCAAAACAAGTAGGACTTCACATAATATGTGGGTAACACAAAAGGTTCAAGTTTACCTCCTCGTATAGACTTATGTGCACTCAACTAATTAAACGAACAGTTGTTTAACTACGTTCAAGATTAGGTGGGTGGGCAGCTATGAATAGGCAGACTTGGAATTGGACCATACTAAATCATTCAAACCTTATAGGCATAATTTCTACACGAGTGGGTACGATTAAGCAATTCAACGGTTAATGTAAAGTCCTATAGGCCGGATTTCTAGATGACCAAATTTAACAATGAAGCTATTTTAAAACATAATTCTGTTAAATGATCCTATAGCCATGCTTTCTAGGTGAATAATAGCATCATATTAACATAATTCCCAAATGATTCAGATATGGGCAATGAAGCGATGGCAACACATGTTTGTTTGTTTATCCTTATAGGCATGCTTTCTAGGCGAGCCACGTAACAGAGGAAGAGATATCAATAAGAGTAGTTCCAATTATTGTATTGGCATCCTATAGATGTGATATCTAGGTGCAGAAATGAGACAGTTAAACAAGCAACAAACAAGTCCAGTTTAGATCCTATATGCATATTTTTCTAACATTGCGAGTTAAGACATTAAATTAGCCATAAATCATGTTTTCTAAGTGAATAGGCGAATTAAGATAATCCCCAAAGGATGGGACATGGCTAGCAAACAAGACATTTAAAGCCCTATAGATAGGTTTTCTACCCGTTCATGCAGGAAAACAAAGTATCTCAGCCCCCCATTTTCACTAATCCCCCATTATTCGCTATTACAAATTATTATATGCCAAATGAAATAATACAAACAGAATACAACAGTTACAGGCCTAATAGAACAGTCACAAGCCCAACACAAAATAGCCCAGTGATGTCTGGGCCTTCAGCAACCTTACTCTTCGCACAACCAGCAGTCCCAAATCCAATTGGAGTACACCTGAATCCAATGCTTAAGTCCAATTGGCTTACAAGGAAAATTAGAGTACGCCTGAATCCAATGCTTTAGTGCAACAACACATGTGGCCCAACAAACTAGGCCCAAACGAATGCCTTACTTACCCAATTGGATTCCAAACTAACCATACAAGTGACAAACTACATACTAGATCAATCAAACAACCTTTGAAGTCCACACACTTAGTTCTTAAGGTTGTAGCTAACATCAGTTTCTAACCAAAGGCACATAGATAGGATTACACAAAGTGTTGGCAGGCATACAAAGCATACACAAGATAGGCACATACTATATTTTTAGAAAACAAGTTCAAAGTGACTGGATTGTGCATTATAAGATATCAAACCACTCCAAATAGAATTTCAAAATAAAGCATAATTCAGAGTTAACCTAAAGAGGCTTTAGACATGAAGGTCTTAACATGAAGATCTAGCAGAGTTAGATAAGTCACATGAAAGTCTCTAACATGAGAGCATAGTAAAAATATGATCGCAAACAGCATAACAAACAGGCAAGTAGATATGGCCCGTAACATTTCACTTAGTTGAGCATGAGAAATTTTAACATGCTGAGGAATAGCCATAGTACAAAGGTTCAAAATATAAAGAGTTCATGGTAAGTAAAAAACATATCAACTCTAGGTTAATAGGATAGGCAAGCATCAGGACTTTATACCAGTTGACCACATATAGGAGAAGAAGCTAAATATTGAAATCCGCCCTAAAGGTCTTAGGTAATACTAAAAAATACAGGATTGAACAAGTCAAGGAGCACACATTAGAGTTTACAAATAGCAAGAAAATATGCCATGTTTGTTTAGAAGTTCAGGCAATATTGGCATTTAGAAATCACATGATCATGGATTAGCTATAAGAAAGTTAACAAGTTGTACATGAATGACTCAACAGGAAGCAATACATCACGGACACATTTTGGGCATGAACTAGTTTCTCACAAGAATCTAAAGCAAGGCATGGAGATGGACTCATACAAGCAACAAGTACAAGTACTAAAACACACACGAACACAAAGGCTAAGCAGACTTGAGATGGTCAGAGATCATTCAAGCTGAACACATGTATGGGCATACATCAAAGTTTAGAATTTAGGCAGGTTCAGATGCAAGAAAAGTACAAAGCCACAAAATAACTTCAAAGCAAATAGGACTACAAATAGAGACAACACAGTATCATATTGGTTCACAAAAGCTTAAGTGACATAGATATACAGAGCATGAACATACGCAAAAGAGAATAAAACTGCGAGAGTCAAAGGTACTTACCCATTACAAATTAACGAACAAGTAAATGAGAAGAGCAATTTCCAGCAGTAATTCAATTATCAGTAGCAAAGAGAGAACAACAGGACCTCAAACCTAGTGCGTCAGAGTTCACAAGGGCTTCAGATGAGCCCCGAGCAGAGCTCGCACTGGGAAGGTTGATAAAGCAAATTCCGGTGGCCTTGGCTTTCAGCCGGCCAAGAACCAGTAGTTTTAGAATAATAGGGTAAGTGAGGGAATACGAGTGATTAAAAGTCTGTCTAAAGGGAAAATCAAGGTGGAGTTATATAGTATTCAATTGGAACAAACTAATCATGGAAAACAATCAATTAACCATAAAGAAGGAAAGAAAAGATCTCAGACAATCAGAACTGATAAAGGAGATAAAAATATCAAACCCTAGTTGGGTCTAACTAGCTATAAATCGAACCAAATGTGCAAAACCGTTCCTCGTTGAGCTGTAAATCAAACCAAAGGTGCAAAACCGTTCCTCGTTGAAAGTATATAAATGGAATCATCATCCAAATCCCACAGATTCAAGTTAGCATGGTCTGATTTTGTATATAATACTTGCAAAAATCGGGCAAGTACCTAAGTAATACCACCAGGGTCGACCAGTAGCGAGGTAACATAAATATGGTAAGCAAATAATGGATGAATCACATTGTTAACAAGATTCAGAGGGGTTGAAAGAGGAGGCAACTAGGGTTTTTTCAGAGAAGAAGGGAAGGTTCGAGAGAGTTTAGGGGCGGCTGGACGGAGAAAATGGGTCTAGGGTTTGGGTTATAGGGTTATAAGGAGAGGGGTAGGTTTATTATAGGTCGTTGATCATTTGAGATCAACGGTCAAGATCAAAAGAGGAAGGGGGCGGGTTGTTTGGACAGATCCCGACCGGGTTTGTTGGCTAAAGGGTCGTTTGGTCTGGGCTGTGGGAGTGGGCTAGGTATTTTGGGCCTGTTTTTGGTCTGAAAATTGGCCTTTACTTGGATAAGATTTTAAAATACACAAAATCAATTAAAATAAATTATTAAAACAACTAATAAATAATAAAAAATATTATTTATGAAATAAAAATTCTTAAAAATAAAAACTCAAAATTATAAAAATATAGAATGTTATTTTGACATAAATAATATAGTAAAAGTAATTATTTGTAGAATATAGACTATTATTGCAAATAATAAGTAAAAATATAAATATAATTATACAATGAAGTAAAATATTATAGAATATGCATATGGGTATAAATAATCAATTTGGATGATTAAATCACTCAAAATAATTTGAAAGAGTAATTAATGAATATTGGACAATTTAGAAAAATGTAAGAAATCAAATTTAAAAGCTTATAAAATCACATACATGGCATGTATAAATTAGATAATAATGCAAAATAATATTTTGAAAGTATATGATACTTTATAAAATATGAGGACAAAATTAAGTATCAATAATGAGGATGTCAAGGAAGAATTTGAGGAAGATCCTGAAGAAGACCTAGAGGAGGAGATTCCAGGGAAGATTATTGAGTTGTTGGCTGATTTCCATTATGTACCATTTCAATTCTCTAAGGGCAATCGTATGATCCCATGAAATCTTTGTAAGCCCCGAAATCTCCTCCAGGCTCTTCTGTTGGTGCTAGTTCCTCTGTTGCCGGAGATCTGTTATCCTTACTTTTGATCCAAAGAACAGTGTAAAGTCCTAACACAATCACAGTAGTACCAAGCATCCTGCAAAAAAGTGTACATCTATTTAGTTTTGGTTGCAACTCTTATATGAGTTTTAGAATTAAAATATTACCTTCTGAGGTTCATTTGTTCATGGAGAAGTAATGTACTGGTTACAACTACCATAACCATATTTAAGGGAGTGAACGCTGTTAGGAAAACTAGACCATTGTATTTCATTATGAATCCTTGTATGTAATACGTTAGTCCTGAACAACATATCCCCTGGATTGTGACATGAAAAGTAAGTAACTTTTAATAGACTTAACATGTAGAGGCAAAATATTTCTTGAAAGAGATGTTAGGAAACATTGATTTTTTTAACCTACTTACACTGTACATGACCGCAAGAAGCTTTGCGTCCCAATGGATGCTCCATACTACAGTCTTTTTTCTTTCCATCACCGCTGCTACTATACCTCCCTTAATTGTCCCAAGAAATCATATCCATGTCGTGAGGGAGAGCCCGGCAGGATAGGACCGCGATGTGATCGCCTAGGCATAAAACAATACTAGAGTAAGATTTTTGGCTTATTCCTAATAACTTATCTGTAACTAAGTTCTATCTTTACTAGTAAAATTATGAAGCTTGTCGAACTCAAGCATCCACTTATTAGCAGGAGGGAACCTTTAATAAAAATATTTGAATTTGAGTTTATCCCACCATTTTGAGATGCATGATTAGGCTTTCCTTCTGTTTAAAGTTCAAACACAAGGCCTTGTACCAGAATCTTTATCAGTACACCACCAAATGTGGCAATGGTGCCAATTAGCTTGGCCAGACTGCAGGGACTTTTAAGATTCATCCCTCTTTCATGGCCACATATCTTTCCGGCTAAGGAATGGCGTCTCAAGCCTGAATAAATAAAATATGTACAAAAAGAATTTAAAATTACAATAAGTACCCCTTAATACACAGTGTATTAAAAAGAATTAACTAGCCCATATAATGTAACAACATTATAAAGATCTTTAATTCCATATTCTAGATCTCAAATAGCTTTGAATGTACGTTGTAGAAATATGAACTATTAAGTAATACTAACTAAGAATGTAAATCACTACGTATATAATATTTCATTGTAATAGGTTTTCAAGTGTTTGATTTAGAGATACAAGGTGTGTATTTGAATGAGACAAGGGTATAATTTACTTGCATATCCAGCCCATTATTAAAGTAATGATAGGAATAACATTGCAGATGCAAAAGTTATTGTATCTTTCAAGCCTAGAGAGAAGAAAATATAACGGATGACTGGTCTGTTGGTCAAGAGAAAGATCTTTAATTAAATACTGATTGCATGGGGAAAAAATAATATTTTATGTTTGAGACTTACTCCACTATGCTAAGAGCTATAATCTTAGTAAATATTGCACGAGCCATCTTTGGTCTTGTATTCATGTGAAAAGATATTCAGCTTATCTGTTAGTTTTTGTATTTTCTTTCTACTACTCATAACTAGGCTAGAATTAAAGTTCAAACATGTTAAGTGAACATAAGAGAGGAAGAGAAAGAAGAATACTTGTCTATAAATACCGCAAAAGGAGAAAGGACCAAAGTAGCCACTGCATATCGATAGAAGGCAAACACATAGGCTCTTAACCCTTCATTCAGAGCAACTTTCGACAGGACATCGAAACATGCTAGCACACATTGCAGAAAGACTGCAACAATGAAAGGTCTAACTCTGTTGAATAAATTCCTCATTTGGATGATTTCTATTCTGTAAAGGTTTTCAGTGTTGTTGGATGAATTCCTCATTTGGATGAAAGGCCTGGATATGTAGGTAAATTATACCCTTGTCTCATTCAGAGAAAATTTTCTATAAAGCTTTCAACATATGTTTCTCTGCTACTTTCGTTAATGATTTTACAGATAGGAAATTTATTTATTAGCAAAATCACAAACGGATTCTGATTTTGTATTATCACCCTAGCCCATTCTTCCCCCTATCTCCTATAATTGATTCTCTTCTATATAGAGAAGTTGGTCGTCGTGTCAATTGCATAACAGAAATCTGCCATCTCCTCTTCCTGCTTCCAACACTGAAAACCTTTGCATAACAGAAATCATCCAAATGAGGAATTAATTCAACAGAGCTAGATCTTTCATTGTTGCAGTCTTTCTGCAATGTGTGCTAGCATGTTTCGATATCCTATGAAAAGTTGCTCTGAATGAAGGGTTAAGCGCTAATGTATTTGCCTTCTATCGACATGTAATGGCTACTTTGGTCATTGCTCCTTTTGCGATATTTCTAGACAAGTATGTTTCTCTCTCCCTCCATCTCTTCTTATGTTCACTGTTTACTTAACATGTTTGAACTTTGATTCTAGCCTAGTTATGAGCAATAAAAAGAAAATACAAAATCTAACAGACAAGCTGAATATCTTTTTACATGAATACAAGACCAAAGATGAATCGCGCAATACTCGCTAAGATTGTAGCTCTTAGCATACCGAGTAGTCTCAAACACAAAAAAAAAAATCTTTTTCCCATGTAATCAACATTTAATTAAACATCTTTCTCTTGACCAACAAGCCAGTCATCGGGTAGATTTTCTTCTCTCTAGGCTTGAAAGATACAACAACAACTTTTGCATCTGAAATGTGCAACGTTATTCCTGCCATTACTTTAATAATGGCTTGGATATGCTAGAAAAATTATATCCTTGTCTCATTCAAATACACATCTTGTAGCTTCAAATCAAACACTTAAAAACCTATTACAATGTAATATTACATATGTAGTGATTTACACTCTTGGTTAATATAAGTTAATATTTCTTGTTTCTGCAACTCAGCTACAACTACATTCATAGCTATTTGAGATCTAGAATATGGAATTAAAGATCTCTATAGTGTTGTTGTATTACATGGGCTAATTTAATCATTTTAATACACTATGTATCAATGAGTATTTATTGTAATTTAAATTCTTTTTGCACATATTTTGTTTATTCAGGCCTGAGACGATGAATCTTAAAAGTCTCCGCAGCTTGGCCAAGCTAATTGGCACTATTACCACATTTGGTGGTGTACTGATAATGATTCTGGTACAAAGCCCTGTGTTTGGACTTTGGACAAAAGGAAAGCCTAATCATACATCTCAAAGTGGTGGGATAAACCCAAATTCAAATTATTTTATTAAAGGTTCCCTCGTGCTAATAAGTGGGTGCTTGAGTTCGACAGGCTTCATAATTTTGCTGGTAAAGATAGAACTTAGTTGCAGATAAGTTATTAGGAATAAGCAAAAAATCTTACTCTAGTGTTGTTCTATGCCTAGGCGATCACATCGCGGACCTATCCTGTCGTGCTCTCCCTCACGATATGGATATGCTTTCTTTGGACAATTGTGGGAGGTATAGTAGCAGCGGTGATGGAAAGAAGAAAGACTGAAGTATGGAGCATCCATTGGGATGCAAAACTGCTTGCGGTCGCGTACAATGTAAGTAGGTTAAAAGATCAATATTTTCTAACATCTCTTTCAAGAAAAACTTTGCTTCTACATGTTAAATCTATTAAAAGTTCCTTACATTCCATGTCACAGCCCAGAGGATATGTTGTTCATGACTAACGTATTACATACAAGGATTCATAATGAAAATAGGGGTCCTATTTTTATTACAACGTTTAATCTCTTAAACATGGTTATGGTAGTTGTAACCATTACATTACCTCTCCATGAATAAATGAACCTTGGAAGGTAAAATTTTAATCCTAAAACTCATATAAGAGTTGTAACCAAAACTAAACAAATGTACATTTTTTGGCAGGATACTTAGTGCTATTGTGATTGTGTTAGGCCTTTATACTATTCTTTGGGGCAAAAGTAAGGATAACAGATCTCCGAAAACACTGTTTTAAAGGCACAGTGCCTCATTCTCTCTTCATGATTGCGGATCATATTGCTGGTACCGACAATGTAATCGATGGTCGGCTCTCTTTGAAAGATATGCTCTGTAGCCCATATTTGCAACAACAGGTTGCAACCCTTAAAGAAGTCATATCCCCTTGAACATGATGATAATGCCTTGAATAATTCTGCCAACAACATCGGGACAAGAGTGACCCGCAAATTCCCCCAAAATGTGGCCAAGACTAGAGGTAGCACATTAATGTTGATCTGCCCTTTCTGCTGTGAAAACAACAGAAGTCCCAACAATGCCAAAGAGAACATCAAAGGGCGAAGGTTCTCCATGTTTCCCTATCATATTGAAATTCTTCATGATGCAGATTATAGCTTTCTAGATGCCCAAACTATTCAACAACTGGTCTAGGCTTATCCACCCGTCTTCGACGTTCTTTAGGTCCATGTTTCTCTTCAATCCCAATACATAGAGAAACCTATGACACGACAGCATGGCAACTCAGTAAAGTTGGTAACTTCCTCGAGCGTTAGTGTTAGCTCAAAGTCAACAAACTTGAAAACCGCTTTGGTTGGATTCCAGAATTCTATCCACAACCTGGTAAGCACTCTATCACCTCGGACATTCATCAACGCGGTCAGCGCTCCAAGATGTGTCCTAATTCCATCTGTATCAGATGTTTTTCCACCATTTTTTCAACTTGTGGGGCGCTCCTATGACCATGCTAATTTCAAGGATGTTGTGGTTGATTTCCATCTAAAAGGGAGAAAAGGCTAGGTAAGTGTTTTGCTCCGAATCCTTGGTGCCTTAATCTGGCAGCGAAGTCGTCAAGTCTTAAAACGAGAGACTTTTTAGCTCCGGTATTTGTCACACCTCATTTTTTCCGGGTTGTGGAAAGAAAAAAAAAATCCAATTGAAGTGACATTATTTGAAAAGGGATTAATTTAATTAATTTTAAAGAATCACCACTTAGAATTATTTAATTACGGTGTTCCAAGTCACCAATTTCAAAATTCCAATTCAAGGAAAATTATGACTTTGTTTATAGTCAGCAAAACACAGAAAATGGATAAAGAATTCTGTTAACTCGGGAGAAGGTGTGAGACACTCTCGAATTCCGTGATTTTAACACGGTCGCTTAACAAATTACACTTGGCTCAATTATCCGGATTATTACATGTTTTAAGACTTATGTACATTCCGTCTTTTACCACTTTTAATTATTATTATTTATTATGGAATTTATTGAAACAAGATGCAATGTCGCACACTTGTTTTGCATTGCAAATCACGCCATGTGAAACGCACCCACGATTTACAACATGTTTATTATTATTTGAAGTTGAGAATCAAGGCACACGAGGGCACACTTGAACTTGGGATTAATGTATCATAGACATGCTGCGGGAGCCGTACCCATAGCCATGATAATTTATTTATTAATCTCGCCTAAAGCGTCTAGCGATATTCATAGATTGATCATTCACGTCTCGAATTATTGTTAGGCTTCAGAGTTATAGAAATTACTGGAGGACATGGTATAAATTAGCTACTTTTATCATTAAGAAGGTTATCTGTTCTATAGAGCCATTAAGATGTTACAACTTAATAAATTGATAATGCTCTACTTTTGGAATTATTCTAATTATTGCTTATAAAGCAAGTAGATCAAATTAACGAGCACAAAATGACATTCTTTTAACTTAACACGCTCATGGCCTATTCTTGTTCCTGCCAAGAAAGAAACAACTCTAATTTTTCCATTTGTCTAATTTACCAGCCCACTTGAATCACCACTTCAACATGCTAAAACAAAAGAAATGTAACATTACTATTACTACTTACTTATATAGAAGCCACAAACTTGAGGAATTTGGGGTCGTCCCGCTCCAGGTTGCATCATCTTATTGGTTCCTTTTAAACCGTATCCCCAAAATGCATATACATGTGGCTTAAGATCTATGAACCTATGGGCCCCGCTAAAATTTCCTTTCTTTCAAACCTGACTGCATTTTAAGCTAGAACGTGTGTTTGAATAAAAAATATTATAATTAATCCGACATAACTAATCCAAATAATCTATCCCGACATAACTTATTCTGGCATAAGCCGTATTTAAACCAAACGACCCCTTAATGTAATCTTGTTCCTAGCCAATAAAAGCTTTTATACCTATAGTTTTGATGACTTTTTGGTCCCAATTTTTTTAAGTTTACCCATGAGTAAAATATTTTTGAAGGTAAATTAGGATATACCTTTTTAACCTTTTTTGGAAATTAATTGAGAAACCTATTTGACTTGGTAATACTAAATTAATCTCATTAATATTCACTTTGGATTTTATTTATCTTAGCACACATTTGGATAATATTTAGTTGAACTTGAAAATAATTTATTTGAAGTTGAAGTTAAAATTGAAAAATGCTATTTGTGCTTGTACACTAATTTTCTAGAAACAAAAATTCAAGGTTTGCAAATGAAAATTATTATTTCACTTGAAATAACACATTGAATACAATGTGACGTTAGGTAATGCTTGTAATAAATTGCATCACAAAGGAACATGTAATGTTAAGAGAGATACATTATTGGTATTAGTCAAATAACTTTTAAATTATTTTTGCATAATATAGTAGAAATGTCAGGATGATGTGAGATTACAGTACTTATCTTTGAATTGATCAAATTGTAATTGATATTCTATAATAAATACTAGATAGTGTTACTGTCCTTGTGTCGCCTTGCTCCAGACTATGCATTCTCATTGACTACCACGTATGATTTATCTTAGCTGCTTTATTAACTTTCGTCTATATTTACTGTATTGTCCCTTTTGATTTCAGATCACGTATATATAAGTGATGGTACATATACTTCCTTTTAATCTTATTATAGTTGACTTGGTTATCATCTTTGACTATTGTAAACTGAAAAAATTACCTCATATGAAGAATTACGAATCACATGAGTCACTAAAAGAAATGAAAAAGAAAACTTAACACTAAAATATTTATAAAACTTTTTTGTTTACGTCATTGATAACGCTTTTTTTTAAAACAGTATTTAAAAAAAATTCAAAATAATCAAACTACTTTAAAGTTGAACCTCATATCAGAAAGATTTAAATACTTAGAAATCAACCAACTGAACTTACATGTACTCAAATGAGTTAATCCATTAAAACAAAATATATATCCCAAATAATACGAAACCAGTAACGCAATTAATATGAAAGAGATCAAGTATTTTTAAAAGAGCAAATAAAATCTATCACGAGCAAATAGAAAACACTTAAAAAAAAAAAAAAATCAAAGCAAGTGTATACTTTAAATGTAAGCAAGTACCGAGAAAAAATGGAAGTGAATGGACCTGAAAATTTACATCTCAATCCGCCCGAACGGAGCAACGATCGGCGGACTGAAACGCCAAAGCAACGAATCGGAGCCTCGACATAGAAGCCTCGCCGGATCTTCGACGGAGTTTGGTTGCTCGACTGGTTTTCGTGGCTGATTTTGCTGCTCTTTAGGACTGTTTCACGGGAGATTTTGGGACTATTTTGGGGTTAAACATTTGCTCTTAATGAAGAAGAAAACTGTAGAAAAAAGGTTGATGAGGACCCCCTTTTGCTCAAAACTACCCGATTTCCCTCTTGTCCCTCCATGCGTTCTCTGTTTTCCGTCCCCCAATCCCCTTTTCGTGTGTTCTCGGAATGTGCCCTATTCTCTCCGTTCTCCCTCTGTTATATCGTGCAAATGTGATATATATGGGTATTCTTGGGGAGAAAGGGATAATAACGGGTGAGTTTCCAGGAAATTTCTTGGTAAAATGATAAGGGCTGTGTCCTCATTTGTCCGAGTCTGCTGCAAAGAAAAGCAAGAAGTTGCACGAAAAGGACATGGCAAAAATAGGCCATGGCTGACAGGCAAACTTACTCAAAAATGGAGAGGGAGAAGAGGAGAGAGAGCGACTAGTTTTCTCTCCAAAATCTGATAAGTGACGAGGAAAATTCGATATCATATCCACCGTTGGATCCCAATCGATGGCTCAGATTGGACCTTCTAGAGACTTCTTTGAAGTTGGGCTATGTATTTGGACCAAACGACAGGCCAGATTTGCGCTAATGTTTGGGCCAACATATTGGTCTCAAGTTGGGGGAAGAAACATAATTAGACAATATTTAAGAAAATTTTACATAAACCTAGCAGAGTAGGTAATTAACATAACATATTACATTCCTTAATAAAAATTTATAAATCTGGATCGAGAATCAGGAAATCCAAATCAATTCAATTCCTAAAAAAATCAAGCTGACGAGATTCACGGAACAAACAATCCTAAACGTTTGCTTCCTATTTCTTTGCTAGGTAATATTTTCAAGAGAGTGTATCATTTTTATACATAAAAAATTGAATGTTAATCAACTATCGAAAAATTACTTGCACTTATTGCTCACATTTCATAATCTCTTTATTCCCATTTACAAAAAAATAAATCTAATAAATCTGGATTTTAACATGTATAATAATATACATACGGAATCCTGAAATATAACTACATAATTACATTAATATATGTTGTATAAATCATGTATAAATTCTAATAAATTATGTAAAAATTATAATAGATAATTATACACGATGTAAATCATGTATAATTATACCAAATAATATACCAAGTAAAAACCATGCACATTTTAATGTTATATTTTATCATAAATTTTTCATATGTATATATTGATTGTATATTAATGTTAATAATAATGGACAATAAATATATACGTGGAATACATATATCGACAATAGTATATAATTATGTATAATGTATATATACACAATATAATGATTATATTTAATAGCACTAGTTTAAATATATGTGCGTTGCACGTGTGTTTTGCGTCGGTCAATATTATATATGCTTACATAAGAAGATTAAATTATTCGAATAAATAATTAAAATTATAATAAAAATACAATATTTGTTTAAATAATGAGAACAAATATTATTTCATGGCAAAATATATAGTTTAACCATGAAACTTAGGGACCAAATCCCTATGATGCACCTTCTCACCGTGGACAATTTTTATACACACAACCTTTCTAAAGTGTGTCTAAAACACATCACTTTTTTCTTGATAAGTTTTTATTTGGAGATTGCATCCACGTGCCAATCAAAACACATCACGTGTCATAACTCAACTATATGGGTGTGTAAAAGATTGTTCGTGCTCAAAAGATGTATCATAGAGATTAAGTCCTAAGTTCCGGAGCCAAACTATGTATTCTACCATTATTTCATTGACACAATAGCTCAATTGAATACCTTCTAAACATGCAAAGATAATGACTTTAGTTATATTAGATGTACAATATTTGTATGTAGACATATTTTGTTATATGAAACACTAATATGTTAGTATGTTATATCTCACCTAACATATTTTTTTTTATAAGCGATATTGTTGGTGTATGTTTTCTTCTATTTTGGCTACTCTATCATCACAAAAAATTTCTTAAATTCTTATTAGTCTAAATCTAAAACCCGTTCTTTACTACGTTACGACCACATAAAGGTTGAGATAACTCTAAACTCATTCTGATTTCCAATCTTGGATGGACTCTGCCGATTTTGAAATTTCAAGAGTTCCTAATGATAAGGATAATTTTTAAAATTATAGAAAAACAAAATGAAAAATTTATAGCTGTTTCAAAGTTCCAAATATATTAGTTTAGCTAAACTTTAAAATATTATATTCTAGTCACAAGTTTACGTAATATGGTTGTAGGAGAATTTAATTTTTTAAAGGATATAAAAGTTGGTCAAATAAGAAAATAAATATAACTAAGGTAATTTTAATGAATTTTAAAATTCTAAATATCAGAAGTTTACATAATCCAAATAAGGCAAGATTAATAAGCAAAAATATAATTGATTTTAAATTTTAAATATTAGAAAAATTAATTAAATATTAATAATTTTATCTAATGTGAAGTTTATTTTTAAAGAATATAAAGATCAACATTTCGGGTTGGGGGTTCGTGCTACTCCATATCAATGACTAGATAATATTAAAAAAAAAATACATAAATATTATTAAATATTATATTTGAGTTATAAATAAAAATTAAAATATGTAAAGTTTTTTAAATTTGTTTTCTCTCTCGACTCTCCTAAGACACGACATATGTAGAAAAAATTATAATTTATTAAGCGTTCTTCACTTGTATGTTATTCTAGCAATAGGATTATATTTGTGATTAATTAATGCCAACTAAATTAAGGCAATAATTGGGTTTAGTTTTTATAGATGTCAAGTCATCGTAGAGTACATGTCAAAAAGAAGGTCCTTCTAAAGTGTTCTCAGTTTCTATTAGTAACCGAAAAAAGAAAATACCATATAAGAAACTAAATATTATTATAAGCAAGTTCATGTGCATCAATGTCGCCTCACCTTAGTTCGAAGTTACTGCACAATAAATCATACCAAATTTACCACTCATCAACAAATATATGATCCTATAATACTTCACAGACATTCAAAAGCTGAGAATTTGTGCTATTCAAGTACATGGATATAATTGAGCTTCTGAATAGTGGTTTGTCTATAGATAAAAATTAAAATCAAAGAGTACAACCCAAAATATTTATAAATAAAAAAAACACAAGAAGTTTAGTCTAAAAGGGATGAATGTAAACAGTTCCCAGGGGATCCAGATTGGATCTTATTGTGCTATTTATAGGTACGAATTTTAATTAACTTAACTAATGGAAACAATAGTCTAAGCAAATCTCATAACTTGGCACTTGGCAGAAATATTAATTTTTCGTTAATTAGAGATTTTGTAAAAACAACATATATTATAATGTCTAGAATTACTGTAAATAAAAATAACTTAGTGGATCATACGTGCAGGTAATGTCACCGCAACAAAAGAATAGACAAGTATTGAGAATCAATTAACTGTAATCAACATATAAAGTCCACAATCAAAATTGAAAAATTTATAGATCTGAAACCTAAATAAAAAAGATTACAAATTATAATTTTATTTTGGTACAAATTAACAAAATAAAACTGCAAATAGATAGAAAATCAAGTAGAGTTAAATTTCAAGTCCTTATCTTGATCTTAGGTGCATGAATTCCACTGTAGTAATGCAAAGCAACCGAAAGATATGCCGTTTGCAACAACAAGTAAAAGGCGTAGAGCAATCGAAAAAGAATTCTAAAAGCTAAATAACAAAAATCTGCAAGCAACATGTTTAGTACCCTATATGCTGAACTAAAGTAATTCTCCATCCCTAAATAGTGAATACTACATGGATCATCGTGCGAAAGTTTTCCACCAAATTACCTTGGGTTCACTCGTCGAGATGCGCAAAAGACCGTATGTGTTACAAACCGATGCAACTCCATCTAGGAGACATTAACTTGTGTGAAAATCAAGTAATATTCTCGAATAAAGTTAAAAGGTATTAATTAATAAATATATGGAAATAATAATAAAGAAAGTTAGGTACCAATGTACGTGCAAATTAGGCTTCTGTAACGACCCGGCTGGTCGTTTGTTGTAATTGCGCCCCGTTTTCTCTTTTGATGCTTCACGCATGTGTGTTTATGGTTTTATGACTTATAGGGTTGATTGGTCGGGTTGATTTAGACCATTTGGTTCTTGACTTAGAAGCTTAAGTTAGAAATATTGACCAAACTTTGATTTTTTGTGAAAAATAATCCCAGAACGGTATTTTGATGGCTCTGATAGCTTCGTATCGTGATTTTGGACTTGAGCGTATGCTCGGAATCAAATTCGGAAGTCTATAGGTTAATTTATGTTGTTAGCCAAAAATTGGCAATTTGAAGTTTAAAAGTTTGACTGTAGGTTGACTTTTAGTTATCGGGTTCGGAATTGGATTTTAGGATTGGAGTAGGTCCGTTATGCTATTTAGAACTTGTATGCAAAATTTGGTATCATTCAGAGTTGATTTGATAGGATTCAGACGCTTGGTTGTAATCCTAGAAGTTTTTGAACTTTACTTTGAAATTCATGCGTTATGGTGTCCGATTCGTAGTTCTAGATGTTAATTTTGTATTCTGATCGCGCGAGCGAGTTCGTGTGATGACCCAATAGGTCATCTATGATTTTACCTTTCATTTCTGCGCTCCGAGACCTCGAATAGCTCCATTTAGCCTTTCTCGATTTACATGCACAATACGTGTCTTTTCTGGAAGGTTTTAAGTGAAAAATTGATGAAAACGTGAAATCGTGCCTTAAAAACTCATTTGAGTTGACTTCGGTCAATGTTTTGAGCAAACGAACTCGGATTAGTATTTTGATGGTCCCGCTGGGTCCGTATCATGATTTGGGACTTGGGCGTATGCCCGGAGTCGAATTCGGAAGTCCCTAACTTGATTTAACGTAATTTATTGAAAACTAAAAGTTTAAAGGTTTAACGAATTCCTAAGTTTGACCGTAGGTTGAGTTTATTGCTACTGGGTTCGGATTACGGTTCTGAAACTTGGTATAGGTTTGTTTCAGTATTTATGACGTGTCTGCAAAATTTAGTGTAAAACGGAATTGATTTGGCGTGATTCGGATGTCAGGTTGTAAAATTGAAAGTTCTTAAGTTTCTTTAAAGAATTTCATTTATTTTGGTGTCCGATTCATGGTTCTAAGTGTTATTTTGGTATTTTGATCACGCAAAGAATTCGTATGATGTTATTACACTTGTGTGCATGTTTGGTTTGGAGCCCGAGGGGCTCGGGTGAGTTTCAGATAGGCTACATAGTGATTTTTTATTTAGAGAAATAGCGGATGCTTCTTTGCTTCTGGTGTCACCTGCAGATCTCGCATTTGCGAACAATGAGTCACATTTGCGAGCAAGGGCTGGGTTGGGGAGAGTTCGCATTTGCGAACTCTGTATCTTCGCAATTGCGAAGGTTTTGGTCACAATTGCGACCAATGTCTACTTGG